TTTTTTGATAAAAAAAAAAAAAGAAAAACGAAAAAATAAATACAACTCCAACACCTCTATCACTACAAAAAAACTCTTATATTCTAATGGAAATTTTCCGTTGGAATTCTTTATATTTTTCGTTAGAATAGCTATTCCAACGGATATTCCTATGTATAAAAGTTCGTGGAAAAAACGGTCGTTGGAATAGCTAAAATCCAACGGAAAATCCTATGAACATAAATTCCTACAACTATTCCAAACAGTTGGAATTCCTCAACCATCCAACACTTATTCCAACATAAAATTAAGTTTGTTGAAATATTCATTGAAATTTCCAACGGAAATTTTTACCGTTGGAATTGAAGTGTTTTCTTGTAGTGCATTTTATAGATTTTTTTCACAGAAATTAAGGGATCCGGTTTATCACACAAAATTCTAGTAAAAACAGTAGACTTTTAAGGGATGTTCACCTTTTTTTTTATTATTTTTTTTTTTTGTTAAAATCTAATTTGATTTTTTGAACAAAACATCCACTCCATTTTCAACTAAAATTGCGTAATAGTAATGTTAATTAGTACAACGCCTATGTAGTACACGAGTTTTTGTTAAATTTTTTTTTTCTTAAAACTTAAAATCAATGAGAAAAGTAGTTTAAGTTTTAAATACTTTTTACAAAAAATATATTTTATTATATATTTTAGTGTCCCTGTGTAGTACACGAGTGTTTGTTAATTTTTTTTCTTAAAATTTAAAATTAATGAGCAAAAGTAGTTGAAGTTTTAAATACTTTTTACAAAAAATATATATTATTATATATTTTAGTATGACAATTGTTACTTGTGCGACTTACCTGTGTTATATTATAATATTTTTTCTGACTTGTAACATATAACTTGAGCATAAATATATTAATTGAAAAATAATTTTATTTTTCTAATTAATTTTATAAAAATAAATATAATATATTTATTTTATATATACAATACGTATGTCAAATCGAAGTTTATCAAAAGATGATAAATTTGATAATTATATATGTAAAACCGATAGGAAATGTAAAAGTTATCAACTTTTAAAATACATCTACAATTCAATAGTTATAATAGAAAATGATATTAAAATACAATTAATACATCTAAAATGATCATAAATAAATCAACATATTTATGGTTTTCCGAATCTAATTATTTTTGGACTATAATTAAATTAAAATATATCCAAATCAATTAATAAAGCATAAAATTTTGACACTTAGAATCCCGAAACATGTGAGTCTGCCACTTAAGCTCAACACATTCAGAAATTATATATAAGAGTCTTGCTTTCGTACCACAGTTCCTTCAGGCCCCCGCCCAATTAAATATGGACCGTGATCTTATTTTTTGTCATTTTCTTAAAATTGAAACAAGACTCAAAATTGTAAGAATTATTATATTTCTAATAAAAAAGTGAAAATATTATGGGAAAAAGAAAATCCTACTAAGATGATGTGATATTTGCTTTATTGTGTTTTTAGGATCAAAAGGTCATAATTAATATTGGACCTTATTGAGGAATTATAACATGTTTTAATGTTCACCTAGTTCTTGTTTTTCCTATATATAATTTTTTTTTTTTTTTTTGGTACAATTCCTATATATAAATTTCAATGGCTAGCTTTTCGTTTCATCATAAAATTTTATTTTTATAATATTCAATGAATACATCTTCGGTTAATCATGCTCATTTCTACCTTTTTTGTTTTATTCAGACAAAGACGATCACACAAGCATATTATATTCACATGTCATCACATTGGGTATTGGGCACAAAGGAAATCGTCCCGTTAGCTATGTCATAAGCCACCAACATATTTTGCTGCTGAAAATTGCCCAAGATGGTGGGCCCACCCTCCTCGGCGGCCCCCATGGCCAAGCACCCGACCCCACTGTCCACCACGAAGTAGCTCTCCTTCGGCAACTTCACTTTGGCCCCCTCGAACTTCAGCACCACCGTCGGGACCTTTATCTTCCGGAGGCCTCGTACATCAAAGCATAGCTCGAGACCCGGGTCGATTTTGCTCCCGTTGGCGAGCTTGAGATTGATCTTCTGGGCGAACTGCCGTTTCACGTCCTCGAACGCGCCCCTCTCGAGGAGCGTTAGCGTGGTCCCCGTGCTGATGATCGAGGGGCCCGACCCGTCGACCCGCACCAAGTCCGCTCCGCCCACAGCAACCCCCTCGAACGGGATCCAATAGAACGGTTGGGCCGGGTCGGACATGTTCACTATGAGTCGGGTCGTGGGGGTGCGGATGTCTGCACGGGCGCAGGCCCCAGCCTTGGGCCCCATCTCGAGCACGCCCTCCTCGTTCAAGCCGGGTGGTGGCATGCAGTAGGAGAATTCGGTTACGCCGAGCTGCGAGACGAAGGAGTGGCTCGTGGGTCCCAGGGCCAGGACCCCCGAGCCACTGAAGAGGTCCCCACTGTTGTTGAGACTGCACCCGAACACGAGCTTAGGGACCGGGTCCGAGTCTTCCTCGAATTGGAAGGTCTCGGTGGCAAGCTGCCCGATGGACCAGCTGTCGTCAGCGTACACCACATTGTACGTGCATTTGTCGTGTCTTTGTCCTTTGCTCGGGCATTCCAACACTTTGTATGAATTGGATTTTTTCGGGTTGAAGAAGTTGGCCGACTTCTGGGGGCACTTCTTCTTACAGGACGTGCATTGGATCCATGTGAGGTCGCTGCCGGTGGACATAAGGGCCCGGAAGGGTTGAGGTGGAGTCCCGATGGATAGTTCTACTAAGTACTCACTGTACAGATAGTCGGGGCATGCGATGATGGTGGACTCAATTTTTTCGGTACTTATCGAGGCTGTTGCTTGAAGCCAATCTAGCCTCTTTCGGTCGCGACCTAGAGCAAGCCGCAAAAGCTCGATTTTGCTTAGGTTTTTACCGCGATCCACGTGCATTACCGTAGCACGGAACTCCACTGTCGGCGAAACTAATACGGCCAAAGTGTAGGCAATAAGTAGGGTTAAGTGTGTGATTGTGGAGAATGGTAAGTTTGCTAATGACATGGTATTATTTAAGAATAGTTAGTTATTTCGGGATTGTGTCAATGAAATATTCACCATTTACTGACAATATATAGGCAAATGTGGGGTTCAACTTTGGATACACAACACAATATAAAAACGGGTTTGTATTTGACCTTAACGTGTTCGTGTCGCTATATTGTGACCCAAAGAGTCAAAAAATTGTGTCGTGTCAATTTATTAACGATCCAATAATTAAGTAGATATATTTGCATTTTTTATTCACATGCTTTAATTTGTAACCACATATGTGTTGTGTTTTATATAATATCATGTATTGATATGCAATTATGTGCATGAATTACTTATATTTACGAATTTTATGTATATAGATATTGATTTACTTTTCGTAAATAATAATAAATTACATTGTTTTCTGGTATAATTCCTAGCTTCTTTTTTATTTTTTTGGTGGTATATGTAGTATATTTTTTTAATTAAAATAATATATGACTTATTTAATAAAAACAACTTGTTTTCCAGCATATAATCATAGAAAATTTAAAAATTATTAACTCGGGCGTAGTTGCATCGCGCTCTTGTTGTCGTTAGCTTGTCGGTTGTGATGGGCCTACCGCCACAAGAGGCGATTTTGGCGATGGCCTTGGCATTTCAACATTCTCCGAGAAGGAATGGAAGATTGATCCATGCGGGCACGATTTTGATGCCGTCTTCCCTAAATTGGAACCAATTCGGAAAGATCTTGAGAATAAGCCCTCTCCCGTGTGGATTATTATATGCCCTTCCATGTAGGACCTTGTCTCTATCTTCCTCGGTTTTGAACTTAAAGACGATCCAACCATTTACGTTAGGGACATAGTCATATTCTACATTCCAAGACTTCCAAAGCTTCAAAAGAGCCTCTTTACCCTGGTGCCTTTGGGTGAAATATCCGACAAGACAAAACTCCCAAGTTTGGGTTACATCCATGATGTCTTCTTCGTCAAGGAAGGCTCCTCCATCTTTTGGTGGAATGCAGTCTAATTTGAGGCCAAGAGAAGCTTTTCGATTTTCGGCAAATAGAGCCGAGAAAGGCCTCTTGTGCGTGCCAGAATCTCTTTGGGGAATTTCACCAAACACCTTTTGTGCACCATTGTTGCCTTGTGTGTTTTGTTGGTGTTGCATTGCCCCTTTCTCTTCATTAGTCACAGCAGCTAAGATCGTTTTCCCCCGGCTTCTAAATCAATATTACCCAACCATCTTCAATCGACACAAGAGGCATATATTTTGTGTGCTGTAGCTTTACTGCAGCAGCTTCGGATTAATTAAAGCAGGGATGCATATATTTTGCTTGAGATTGGATTTTTGGTCACTCAAACCAAACTAAATATCTCACTAAATTCGTGATAACAATTATTGAGTATCCACGCAATTTCAATAAAAGAATTGAAATCTGGCAGCAAATTTCAAGCTAAAATTCGAGCTTCAGCTCCGCTCGTTAAGTCCTCGAGCTCGAGCCTTAACGAGTCGATCTCGGGATTTAACGAGTCGAACTATAAAAAATTATATAAAAAAATTATTTTCGAGTCGTGAGCTCGGATCGTTAACCTCGAGCTTTAAATGAGCTCGAGCTCGGCTCGTTAAGGCCTCGATCTCGAGCCTTATCGAGTCGCGAGCTCGGATCGTTAACCAATCGAACTTTTAAATGGGCTCGAGCTTGACTCGTTAAGGCCTCGATCTCGAGCCGAGCTCGAGCCTTAACGAGCCGAACCAAGCCAGACTCTTTTAATTTTTTAATTTAACAGCACTAATATAGATATAGATGTGATATCTTATTTGTTTTGTTTTTTGGTTCATATGTTCATAATTAATATTGGACTTTATTAAAGGAATTGATAACATGTTTGAATGCTCAACCTAGTTTTTGCTTTTCCTATAAATTTTAATGGCTATTTTAAAGTGGTCCAATTTTTGTTTTATTTGACACTTGTCATTGGATGAAACATGAAATTGGAAATCTCATTGTCATTCTCATTATTCCATCAATCTTCTTTGTTTTATTCATTAATTAACAAAGACAATCACACAACAATATATATATTCACATGTCATCACATTGTGTATTCACAAAGGAAATGGTCCGGTTAGCTATGTTATAAGCTACCAACATATTTTGCTGCTGAAAATTGCCCAACATGTTGGGCTCACCCTTCTCGGCGGCCGCCATGGCCAAGCACCCGATCCCATCGGCCACAACGAAGTAGCTCTCCTTCGGTAACTCCACTTTGGCCCCGTCGAAAATCAGCACAAGCTTCGGGACGTTTATGTTCTTTTTGCCCCGGACGTCGAAGCAGAGCTCGAGAGTCGGGTCGATTTTGCTCGCGTTGGCTCGACGGAGCTTGATGTGCCGCGCAAAGTTTCGCTTGACGTCCTGGAACGCACCCTTCTCGAGGTGCGTTAGCGTGGTCCCCGTGCTGATGATCGTTGGCCCCAACTTGTCGACAGGTGTTGGGGCTGCCCATCCCACCTTGACCCCCTCGAGCGGGATCCAGTAGAACGAGTCAGACAGGTCAGTCGACGTGTTCATAATGAGTCGGGTCGTTGGGGCGCAAGGAGGTGTCTGGGCGGCCCCTGTCCCCAACTCGAGCACGCCCTCCCCTACGGTGCCGGCCGGCGGCATGCAGTAGGAGAATTCAGTCACGCCGAGTTGCGAGACAACAGAACGGTTCGTCGGTCCCAGGCCCAGTACCCCCGAGCCGTTGAAGAGGTCCCGACTGATGTTGAACCCACAGCCGAACAAGAGCTTACGAGTCAAGGATGATCCCGCCTCGAAATGAAAGGTCTCGATGGCAAGCTCCCCGTTGGACCAGCTACCGTCAGAGTATGTCAAATTGTACTTGCACTTGTTGTGCGGCCGTCCCTTGATTGGGCATTTCGATGGATAGTAGGACATGGACTTTTTCGTGTTGAAGAGGCCGGATGAATTTCGAGGGCACTTTCTTATGCACGACGTGCATTGGATCCACGTGAGGTCGGTGCCGGTGGATATAATGGTCGGGACGCGTTGAGGTGGAGTCCCGATGGATAGATTTGTTAAATAGTCGCCGTATAGATATTCGGGCCATGTGTAGATGGAAAAATCGATTTTGCCGGGACTTTTCGAGGTTGCAGCTTTAAGCCATCCCAGCCTCTTCTGGTCGCGGTCTAGCGCATGCCGTAAGAGCACGATTTTGCTGAGGTTCTTACCACGATCTACATGCGTTAGCCTGATCCGAAACTCTACCGTTAACGAAACTAACACAACTAAAGTGTAGGCAAAAAGTAGGGTTAAATATGTAATTGTGGAGAATGGAAAGTGTGGTAATGACATGATTTTTCTTCTGTGTGTGATGTTATTGTTGAGAAATACTCGTTTGGGTTTGTGAGTGAGAAGAAAAATTCACCATGTAATGACAATATATATAGGCAAATGTAGGGTTTAAACTAATTATGACCACAGTTAGAATCTAGCGACACAAACCGGGTTGTGGTTAATGGTTTTAGAATAATTGGCCTGGACCATTAACCATGGTTCGTAAATCAGCCCGGCGTTTGGCAGCGTTGTTTTCGGTTCATTTATTTTATATAAAAAATAACCGTTTGTTCTACTTCCAAACTGGAACCGGTTCGATGGTTTTGTCGGCAATTTTTTCAAAAATCTTGAATTTTTAAATATTTTTTAATTTTTTTGCCCGCTAGGTCAGGCTGGGTTGGGCCCGGAACTGGAACCGGCGGTCCAAGGCCGTCCAACGATCATATTTTTAAAATCGACAGTTTGATCATGCGATCATTGGAGAATCAACAACGTTGACTGAACCGAACCATTTGAATCACCAATTTGTCCCTAAACCGGCGGTTCACTGAAAAAAAAAAAAATCAGATTTTTTTCCTATGAATAACTCCTTTTACATCTTCATTTTTACACCAAATTATTATCATCTTTTCTTCTATAAAATATCCTCAATAGTCTCATTCTCTAGCTCTTCTATCCTTTTTTTTTTTACGTTTTATATTAGTAGCTAAATTCTTTTTAAATTATAAAAATGTCGAGTTCTCGTGGTAGACAACTAGCAAAGTGAAAAGGTGTAACATCTACGTGTGGTCATCCATTGTTGACGTCAACGGTACATATTGATGTCCCGGGCATCCCCAATGAACTATTTATCGAGGAGGTCATATACATGTTTTAAATTATAGAAGATATCCCCGAGGGTTTTCAGTTCCCCCGATGACGCTACTCTGCCTACTCAAGGTCAACCGACAGCAAGGGCTTTGAGTTGACGTTTGATATTAGTATATTCACAAGACATATCAAGAAAGAGCTGATCCAAGCAATAAGGAGGAAAAACATTTTATATTTACAATCACTGTCCACCGACAACCAGAAGAGGTATGCTTAAAAACCGTTAATGAGTACGAAGCCATACATCGACACATACATACCAATTATCTGGCCAAAATGGACATTGACTCGAGCCAAACTTAATTCTCAAAAGTGAAACTATCATCGTTCATTGTATAGTCGTGATATGGGGATAAAAAGAGTTATTTGTTAGTAATCTTGAACATGATTGCTACCTTGTAAATGATGTTTTGCGAAAATAGTTAAAATATTATTTATATATACCTAGTATATTTTTAATTGTGAATTTGTTAGATCCGTCTATACGTGAAAATGGATTGGTCAACTAGCTTCACACTTTTTAGGAACTGATATACCAAATTTCACTTCTCATTGATGTTAGTCCTATCGACGGCCTAACTCTCGGATGCTCGTCAAGCAAACAAAATCTTTGTTGTACGACTTGTTTAAGGAAACAACAATTGAAGTCTAGGAAAATCCTACGTTATCTTCTTCTTCTTCTTCTTCATCTTCTAAGCAAAATGAAGTTAGGCACAAACTTTCAAGATTGGGCTTTCAGTCCCTATAAAAATGTTAGGACTGGATGAAAGAAGGGGACTAGATATGATGAACTCGATTACTTCTTGACCTAGGATCTCAAACTTATGGTGGCCATACCACCCACAACGAGACTCTCATTCGATGTCATGGATTTGTGGTTAAAAAAATGAAGACCACATATCATGTTCCATGATTGATTGCCAAGTAGATTTTTAATGTCCATGTCTCAACTGTGGCGGTTGAACAAACATTAAGCGAGTGAGGAGATACTCTGAAAACACGACGATCAAGATTAATGCCACATGACTTAGAGGCTCAAATGTCGTTGAGCGATTGAAAGAAAGTCGAAAAAAGAACACAAAAAGTCCATGATAGTTAAAGAGGATGATGAAAAGCCGAATAATCTTAGTACTAATAACACTGCTGAAACTGACGGAACTGAATACGACGCTGACTACGAGTACTAGAACGTTGAACACATCATGTCATCTTCTTTCATCAAGGTAAGTAAGGTAAGCAAACAACGAGAACTTTGATTTCTAAAGTAAGGGATGCATATATTATTTAATTAGTATTTTATAAGTTAATTGGTAGTTAACTTAATTGAGCTTATAAAAGGAAAACAAAACCAAACAACTTACATAGTTGTCACATTAATTTAAGTAAATGAAATTATGAAAGCTCAATTAAACAAATCCAGGGACATAATTAGAAATCATACCTGAGATAAAACCATAATTACACTATGTCGCACATCGTTTTTTTT